CATATACCGGGCACATTTCCAGACTCCGTGCTACTACTGAGAATATTTTAAAAACCCAGTAATACTTTGCCCGACCCGGGAATCGAACCCGAGACCCCCTGCCCGGCAGTCGCACTTGCGACCACTCGGCCAGCGAGGCAGTCACTAACTAATAACTAGCCGATTTAACAAGACTGGCTCAAATAGAAGAATTTCACCTCCAAACTACGTAGGTATAATATTTTCAAAATAACCATGATTCATAACATCACACTTTCCATCTCTAATAACCTATTCACATTAATTGTGGTACAATCGACCAAATTATTTGGTGTACAGCCTAACTATTTTTTTAGGGGGGAAAACCATCGAATTACTTCTCCCGCCTTAGCGTCAGACTCTTACTGACTAAAAACCACCACGTTCCTACTCCTGCACTTCGAGCGGGAGCCCAGCAACCCGTTAAGTTCTACGCGACTCCGTATCGGCATCAACCCAATTGGGACCAAAACGTGGTGGTCTGACGGCTCATTCTAATATAATCTAAAAAAATCTATAATATTTTTACTGTTAAAACTCAGATCACTCTGAGAAATAACAATAAACGATGTTATAATAAATTTCTTAAGTTTTTAATAATGTTTCATTTAGGAATCATACCAAATCGATATCACTGCACTACTTACACTTAGTAGCTCAATAAATCGACCAAAATTATAGAGAAAGAAAAATTAACATACAATTGAATATATTTTTTAAACCAAACCTTTTGTGTACCCAACATTTTGCCGATTGTACCAACTATCACATCAAATTACTCCAATATATTCCATTCAAGTCGTTTTAAACCTTATTACTGACTTATTCAGGTGTTTATTTGTATTAAATAGGCTCCGAAACTATTTCATTATTGGAAAATTTATTCTTTAGGGAGTAACGTTAAAATATGTCTAAAAAACCTTTCATTTAGTTTTTTTTTTATATTTAAATTCAATTATTTAGTTACAATAAAGTCCCATTTATTCTAGGAGCCAGGCTGTATCAAATTTGCGAATCGCTGTTAACTTCAAAATGTCATAATTTTAACTGCACTAAATTAAATAGAAATCGCGGTTTACTCACGTGAATATACTGAGAAAAGCTCTACTAGTTTCGAGCCACAGAGGGGTTCTTCCTCATGATTAAAGTAAAGTAGTCAAATAAGTAATTTCTTTTAACTTTTAATGTTTGGTCTTGTGGTCTAAAATTATGCATATGGTTTATGAATAATAAATAAATAAATGAGCAACGTGCGCACACACAGAAGATCTCCTCTGTGGCTCGAAACTAGTAGAGCTTTTCTCAGTATATTCACGTGAGTAACCCGCAATTTTTAGTTAATTGAATTGCGTTGATTTGACAATATTTTATTGTGTTTTATTTCGCCCCTAAGATGACCAACTTTTATGTTAGATAGGTCTTCAAACGAGCAGACGGATCACCTGATGGTAAACATTTGGCGCCGCCCGTGGAACTAGAGAAGTTAGTTAAAAAGTGCGTTGCCGGCCTTTTTGGGTGTCAGGTATTTGGGGGTTGGGGAGATGGGGAGGGGCTTATTAACATTGTCAAATCAATCGTTAAAATTCAAAATTCCAATCCGTAAGTAATAGTTCTATAACCGGTAATGTAATATATTATACATAACTAAGATTACATAATTATATGTAAGTATTACAGAAAAAAAAACAAAACGTATTTACATTATTAGAAAAAAAACTCGTATGTTTGTGTGGGTTCGATTCCTGGTTCTGTAATAGTTCGTTCGTTCTGTAGAATTCGATTTGTTTATAAAAATTAGTGAAATTGATGGAATTTCTTATCAAAAAATCTTACGCTGATTATTAACTTGCACACTCTAAAAATTAATTCAAAAAAATCTGGCAATCAAACCCGTTCCACAAAACATACAAGAACTAACCACACAGCTATAGTTCGACGTTTAATAAAAAAAAACAATCATGAATACAATACATGGGTTTTAATAAAATAAAAATAACATAAATGCAAAATGCAATGGCGATTAAAATTTCATAATTTCATCATTTGTTAATATTTAACAATATTGATTTAATATATAAAATTCTAATAATAATACGATTTTTTAAACGTCCCGATAAAATTTATTTAACCAATAAATACAACAAAACAAAATCATAATTAGATTTTTGATCAAAAATCAAAAATGTTCACCTTAAAAACTGCGCCGGCGCATATTTTAATTCCATATTATAAAATTATATATTAAATCAACATTATAATTATACTTATAATAGGGTATTTTGTAACAAAATTTTCGATTGCTTATAATTATTATACATATGTATAAAAATGGGTATTTATATCTTTGTTACATTTTATTGACGAGATCTTTTCCTCCCAAACGCTGCAACTCCTGTGCACCAGAATCTACAGCAGACACAATCATGCCAAAACTGAAACTTTGAAGTCCGGCGCGTCACAGGGACATGAACAACTGTCTTGGATCCCGTAACGAAATAAATCAGAAGTTATCTTTGTCCAAATTTTCAACTGTCTACAGAGGGTCAAGCACGAATAACTATCGCATTCGTATCGTAACAGTGTCGAGCGAGTTAAGCGTTCTGATTGGTTGGTTCACTTGACCATATACAGACAATGACCGATAGACAGACAGAGTAATCTTTGTAATAGCGTTCCCTTTTTTCCCTTCGGGTACATGACTCTATAAAAAGAAGAATTGATGAGCCTAACATACGAAATAAAAAAGATATAATTCATCAATAAAATATAACATAGATACAAAATAGTAACTGTAGATTAACATGCAAAATATTACAATTATCTTAGCACAAGTAATCATTTTTTAAAAACAATATTATTATGTATCGTTCACTGTTTATAATCAAATATTGCGTGTGATATTAACGTTGTATTCATAGACTTTATTATCAAGGTTTTAAGGTATATAATGCATTGTTTTATTCACAAGACCGTCTAAGAGTGATTTTGTAAGCAAAAAATTACTTTTCATTGTCATTGTTAGGAAATATTTCACAACTTTTATACAGGGGATAAGCAGTGGTGTACATTAAATGTAACACCAACTTTTCATATTATTTGTATATTATACAAATATTATAGTTGAAGAGTTATTCGCTCTAATCTCCGAAACTACTTGTTCAATTTTGAAATTTATTTTTGTGTTATAACTTTCATGAGACATACTATATTAATTATTATATTTTACAGCTAACTCACGTAATTATTTGACGAGGAACTCGACTAGTTTCAAGCCATGCTAGAGGCTCATATTCATGCGCGACCCGCGACGCGGGGACTGTCGCGCTGCTACTGACTACTGACAGCTTGAGTAGTCGATACTAGTCGAGTTCCTCGTCAAATAATTACGTGAGTAAGCCGAAAAACATAATAATTAATTCTTTATGTGCTGGATAGTCCAATTGTCGAGGAAGGCTATAAAACATTACGCTACGATAAATAGAAGCCGAGCTATTAAGTCATACTTTAAGCACAGTTTTAGACTCCGTAGCATTATTTAGAATTCCGATATAAAAAAAAGGTAATCCCTGTATAACTACTGAATGTAGAAAAAGTGGGAAGAAATATTGATTTTGTAATCAAATTATACCATTTTACTTACGAAACCATTCTTTAACAATAATCTTTTAAATAAAATACACAAACGCTAGAACACTCAAACGCCACTCAATTTTAAGTCGCGTCAAATTATAGTTCTGTCACCAAAAATTCTTTGTAAAAGACAGAGATAGCACGATATTTAAATACAACTTAATATTGAGTAGCTTTTTAGTATTATGGCGAAAATCGCTTAAAAACCTTTCTACAATCGTAATATTAATTAATAAACCTAACAGTCGACTCGTGCAAGCAAAAATAGACTTTAACGGTCCGAATACTAATTTCGTGCGCATACAAAAATATTACATATCGCTATAAGGTCCAATTTCAAATAACCTTTCTATCTGTAGATTTGGTAACTAGAGATAGAATTATACTTAAAAAATAGGGAAGATTTAAATAACTTTATTGAAACGTTAAAAACGATAAGGTTCCATAGATTTTGATAGGTTTTTCGAGGACACAATCTTTTTATGAGATAAGTCGGTAAACGAGTAGAAGGATCACCTGGTGGTAAGCAATTAGCGTTGACCATGGACACTCGGAACACAAGAGGAGTTACAAATGCGTTACTGAACTTTTTGGGGGATAGGGATTCACCAGGGGATATTACCCCATTATGGGGGATAGCTGAGGACGGCCTAATCGGTTACCGGGGCTCCGACTCGAAAAAAGAGACTCAGTAAGAGTGACACTTTCAATAGCCTCACCCAGGACATGTCATTGGATGATTTGATGGTCCTCCCCCTCAAAAGAGGATTGGGGATTCGAGGACGGGAGGGGGATTGTGAATGGACTTTTTCCATCTCTTTCTCTAGTTGTAAAATCTATAGATAGCTAGATTATTGAAATTAACGACAAAAGGTTTTAATTTCGTGAAAAATCTACATGTAATAACAAAATCTATGAAGGACATGGGTCTCTAATTAGCCTACGACTCAAAAGACATTACCCTCCTTTCGAAACAGTCGGGTAAGTAAGAGGTATTCATTGTTTTGAGCTAACACTGTACATAATGAGTGAATATAAGATTTTTTCTTGTTCTTTTTATAGCTTTTTGTTGGGGATAACCTGGAAATAAAGAATTTAGTTGTTTAGAACTTTATGTTTATGTGTTTAAGGGTGATTTTAGGTGATAATGATAATTCCAACAACCTGTAAGTGACATCTAACAGTACAATTAGGAGTTAAAGTGCTCCTTCACGTTAAGAAACTCTTAGTTAAGAGATAGTTTAGAAGTAGTTGGTAAAAACGACCATTATGCTAATTTTCTAACGCTATTTAGATTAGATTTTCTGTGATATGAGTTTAATATTGGTATAGATGTTGACATACCGTGCAGCTTATGACATGGAGGAGCAGGGCAGGCGAGGGGAGCCCATCTGTGTCAGCACTCGGTCCAGCCACTGCAGCGGACCATTCAGGTGCAGCTCGATCCAACATGGAGTTGAGGTCACTGTTTGACGTCTGCGGCCAAAAACATAATTTAAGTAACGCAAGTCTTCTTTTTCTTCTCATGAATGAGGGTGCCGGTTCGAAACCTACCAACTGCAAGTACCAATGTGACTTTTCCGAGCTATATGTACTTTCTAAGATTATCTAGACACCACTGACAAACGGTGAAGGAAAACATCGTGAGGAAACCTGGACTTGTAATTCTAATTATAAGTTTGAAATCGCCAACCCGCATTGAGCAAGCGTTGTGATTAATGCTCAAACCTTCTCCGTGTGAGAAGAGGCTTTGCTCAGCAGTGGGCATTTAATAGCTGTTGATTATATGATGACAATCTTCTTTTTTGTATTTATAAAGTCAACAATACACTAGGGGACAAATGTCGTACGACATGTATCGACAACATGTCAAGCAATTTGCGACCATCTACGACTTATGTCCACTGCCATATGCACAACTTATGTTTTAGGTGTGGGAGAGCCATACTTCGGCTTGAATAAGCCGGCTCGACTAGAGTGATAACACCAAAGAGCAGAAAACCATAGTAAAAAAACCAGTGTTGTGTGCAGGCGTGTGAGTGAGGGCAGGGATGGCCCAATTACAGTTTGTTCATACAAAAGTAGTCTCTAAACATTGAAAATAAGGTCTATAATGTAATTAGCGGTCACCGGTGACAGCTTGGGGATAAATGGGTTGTTAGAAGATGTACGAGAGAGGTGTATCGTGCGAGAATACTTGGGGAAATCTGTAGAAGGCGCGCTCTAGACGGCTGTACCTCTGTATCATCCATACAAAATTATTATTATTTTATCTACGCTCATTGCACGGAAGTCGTGGAGAGAGCTATGTCTAGTAATGGGCTGTCAAGAGATCTCGATAATAATGATGATGATGATGATGACATTACCTGTACTCAGCGCCCCATCCTTTGACGAAGCTCATCCGTATAGTACACATGCGAGTGAGCTGGAACACTGCCTCGAACCCTTGTGACACTGACTGGGACAGCAGCGCTGCGAACTCTTGGTTGTTGAAGATTTTTAGATTGCAGCCTGGGAATACGACAAATAAGATAATGTAAAACTTTGTTTTAAATAGTTAAACGTATGATTTTATAATAACTATCGGAGTAGGCTGCGCGACATCGCTGCGACCGCGTACGCTGCTCATGAGGAAGAACCCCTCTGTGGTTCGAAACTAGTAGAACTTTTCTTTCTTTCTTTTAAATGTCGTGATGGCCCAGAGGTTTAAGACGCCCGCTTCTCATGCATGAGGGTGCGGGTTCGAAAACTACCAACGGCAAGTACCAATATGACTTTTTCGGAGTTATATGTACTTTCTAAGATTATTCAGACACCACTGACAAACGGTGAAGGAAAACATCATGAGGAAACCTGGGCTTAAAATTTCCAATTATAAGTTTGTATTTGCATTGAGCAAGCGTGGTGATTAATGCTCAAACCTTCTCCGTGTCAGAAGAGGCTTTGCTCAGCAGTGGGCATTTATAGGCTGTTGATGAGAGCTTTTCTCAGTATATTCACGTAGGTAACCCGCGATTTTAGTTAATTTAGTTAAACGTCGTAAAATACCTGGTATGGGAGGTGTACAATGGTGGACAACTAAGCCTGATCACCTGTTAATGTTTCCTTGCACCTGATGAGAGCAGTCGTGGCCGAGTGGACGTGGAATGACCCTTTTCAGGGTTAAGCAATATAATTATCAGGCGGATCATACCCCCGCTGTCCATGGGCAGTGCTGATTGCTTACCATCGGAAGTTTCGTCTTTGGAAAGTACAAGTGTTGGACTGCAGACCTCTAAATTAGAGAATCTCTGCACTTGATGATCAGGCTAAGATCGCACTTTTTAAATAAATTACATAACATAACATCACACCTTTTATCCCCGAAGGGGTGGGCAGAGATGCACATTGCGGCACTTAATGCCACTGTACAATGTATACCACTTTTTCAGTATTTATGTTATAAGCTAACCCTATAAAGGGTGAGCCTATTGTCATATACCAGGCACAAGATTCCAGACTGAGATTTTTTTAAAACCCAATAATACTTTGCCCGACCCGGATCCGAGACCCCTTGGCGGCCTTGGCAGTAACTATTACTATTGAATAGTATTTACCAGGTGGTATTTTGCAGACGGTGGCCGGATGCCATCCGTAGCGTTGGTTGCAGTTCGGACTCTGCACGAATATCGACGAGTCGCTCAGACATTCCGCGAACACCTCGCCTGAGAAAATAAGATAAAGTAGTTTAAAAAAAACTGTGCAGAGCTAATTGCTCTGATAACAGATGATATATCAAAAAGAATTTTATTTACTAGCTAGTTAGAAACTCAGACCAGAGTTGGAAAGGTCTGGGTCTGAAATAAGATCTGAATTATTTGATTATTTTTTTAAGTTGTGTTTTTGTGTCGTAATTGGGCTTCGGGTAAACGACGATACATCGCTGTGGTTGTTCCACTATGGTTGTCTGCTCGTTGGTGGTATCATTCCGGTCGAGCCGGCCCAGCAGTGCCGAAACATGGTTCTTCCTTACTTAAAACTTCCTTTAACCATACATACATGCATGACAATGAGTAAAAGTTAGTTCGATTATATGCAAATAGGTACATACCTCCAATATAATAAAGCCGAACGCCCTTGCCGATGTGTCGACGGGTTTGTTCGACTACTTCATTCCTGTTTACATTGGACAGGAGACCCAGGCAAAATCTGTAAACAAACATTGTTTATTTAGGAATTTCTCTTTCAAATTCACACATGATAGTACAAGGTTATTCTTACTAATCCTTACTAATATTATAAATCGGAAAGTGAGTTTGTTTGTTTGTTTGTTTCGCTGTCACGCCGTAACTACTAAACTGATTGGTTTGAAATTTTGCAGACGTAAAGTTAGAAGTCCTAATTAAATAATAGGGTACTTTTTATCCCGGAAAAATTTTATATTCCCGAGGGAAAACAAAAGTATTGGTATAGATGGTGCTGTGTGTAATTGTATATGTTACATAGGCTACTTTTTATCCTTGTGACGCGAGCGAAGCTGCGGGTAAAAGCTAGTTATCAAATAAAACCTTATCAGTTTCTTGTCTTGTTTATTCCTCTTCTCATTATTTATTCCTCTTCTATAACCTGGGTGTCTTCAAGGCCCGAGTGAATAGGTTGCTTATGGGTCGATGTGCTCCATCGTAGGCCGCATCATCGCTTACCACCAGGCGAGATAGTGAACAAACGTCGACCCATCAAATATAAAAAAGAGCTGGTCACAAATGTATTCTGGCCAATATAAAAAAATCCTTATAACTTACCTCTCACTGTTGCTAGGATCAGTAAAGCCATCGACGGTGATCGAAGGCTGGGACGCATGGAACGTTTCCCCAACCCTGGTGTTCAGCTCGTAATAACTTATACTGCACCAGAATGCTGGTTCATGGTACAGGACCGGGGCAGCTTCAGTCGTCAGACCTGGGGGCGACGGGGTCAGGCGGGTTAGGTCTGAAACAATGGGTTATTTAAGGGCCTAAAAGACATTGTGAGGGTGTTTTTCGAGCAACACCCCTTTTTGGTGAATCTATTGGCTATTCGGCATATGAACTTCAGTAAAGTAGCTAGAAATTTCGATAAGATGATGTATCGAAGAAGATTTTGTAGTGACAAGAATTGAAAAGGGAATTAAGTAAAAACGCGGGTTACTATATAACGGTGAATATACTGAGAAAAGCTCTACTAGTTTCGAACCACAGAGGGGTTCTTCCTCATGAGCAGCGTGCGCGGTCGCGGCGACGTCGCGCAGCTCACTCCACGCAGAGCTTTTCTCAGTATATTCACGTGAGTAACCCGCGTTTTTACTTAATTTAGTATGTCTCACGATAGTTATTATGAAAAGGGAATGTTACGCTGGTTTGGACATGTAGAAAGGATGGATGAGAGTAGAGTAACGAAAGAAGTATACAGAGCGGATATGAATGGGGTCGTCGGTAGAGGGCGCCCTAGACGGACATATAGTGACCAGATTGGCGATATATTAAAGAAGGGCCAAATTAAAAGTACCCTTAACCGACGAGCATGCATGAAAAAATTGATGACTGTTGATGAAGCGAAAGAGGTATGTAGGAATCGTAGTAATTGGCGTCCTAGTCTCTGCCTACCGCCATGGGAGACAGGCATGAAGTTATGAAATTTTAATAATCAAAGAGCTTTGTTAGTCCGAGTATCGAGTTCGAGATGGAGTGCTCGGAAATCGCGTTTGCGACTACTAGATCACATCAATGTAACTTTGGCAGGTAAGTCCCTACCCAAATTTCACGACAATTAGATTCAGTATTTTTTTTTAATTAAAACTTTGCCCCACACTAGGATTATCTCCTGTGTCGTGGGTGCGTTTACCCATACAAGTTCACATACACATGACACCCAGACCCGAAACAACAATTTGTGGATCACACAAAGTGTTGTTCCGTGCGGGAATCGAACCCGCGACACGTTCCACGGCAGCCGGTTGCCCAGCCACCGCACCAACCGTGCAGTCAACTTCGTTTCGAGCATAGTAAGAAAATCTTAAGACAGGTAACTGTTAGAAAAAGAGAAGAGACTTTAAAAGACATTGATTGCGCAAACTCTTTATATTGAAATAAACAGGAATAAAACCCTTATCCTTACTAATATTATAAATCTGAAAGTGAGTTTGTTTGTTCCACCTTCAAGCCGTAACTACTGAACCGTTTGCTTTGAATTTTTGCAGACGTAAAGTTAGAATTCCGGATTAAATAATAGGGTACTTTTTAACCCGGAAAAAATTGATATTCCCGAGGAAAAACAAAAGTGGCGCTGTGTGTATTGGTATATGTCACATAGGCTACTTTTTATTCTTTTGTGACGCGAGCGAAGCCGCGGGTAAAAGCTAGGCGATCATAAACCATAGTTAGTAAGTAACTATAAAGTATTATAACTTTCGTGGGGTATACTACAATATTTGTTTTCTCGGCTTAAGTGACGTTTGACGAGGAACTCTACTAGTTTCAAGCCATGCAAGGGCTCATATTTGTGAACAACAGTTCCTCGTTAAACAGTTACGTGAGTAAAGCCGTTCCCCTCAATAACTATGAAAACATATAACATAACATCACGCCTTTTATCCCTGAAAGGGTACGCGGAGGTGTTGATTATGCCACTGTACAATGTAACACCCACTTTTCACTATTTATGTTACGAGTCCCATGTAATAGGGGATGAGCCTATTGCCATATACCGGGCACAATTCCAAACTCCGTGCTACTACTGAGATTTTTTTTAAAACCCAGTAATACTTTGCCCGACCGGGGAATCGAACCCTAGACCCCTTGCCCTGTAGGCGCACTTGCGACCACTCGGCCAACGAGGCAGCGTAAGAAAATCACTATAAAATGTTACTAAGAAGATAATAAATGTAAGAAAATTGTCAACAAACTCACTCATGTTGTCGTTATGGTCCATTGGATCGCCGTCCTCGCTGATATAGCCCGGCGGCGGCGTCTCCACCGTCGACGAGCTCCTGTAGACGAAAAAAAATATTGTAGAACATTCTGTGCCTCTGTGGACTTTGGACTCGTAAGTATTTTAGGGTTCCTTAGAAGGTAAAGCAAGTTATAGGATCCTATTGTTTTATTTCGCTCTATCGTCGACATTTCCGATCAAATACTAAAATAACTAAATATAATACGTATTTTTAAGGATTCTCACACAAGAAATGTAGACAATCTAGTTTCGAGATTTTCTAGAACAAAGAGTTTCCTTTTTATCGTATTTAAGTACTATTTTTATGGATTGTCAGTATGCAGATGTGAGTACCATGTTGGACTATAAGACTTTTATTTGTTTTTTTTTTTATTTTTTGTTTAGTTTTTTATTTTAGTAAGTTCTGTAATTTGTGTAATGCGTCAAGCGTGTATTTGTATTGTTCTCACATATACGTACAGTATTAGAATATGATCAGAGATATTGTAAAACAGACTTTTTTTAATTTTCAAAGAGCAACGAATTGAGTTTCTTGCTCGTTCTTCTCCATTCGAATCTACATTTTGGTATGAGCACCTAGCTTCACTGATTCTTTGACTATTGATAGCAGTGGCGGTCTGTTTGCCATTGTTTCGATGTTTTTTTTTTAAATAGAACATTGTCCCACTTTAGGACTTTCACCAGTGTCGTGGGTGCATTTACATACACATAACACCCAGACCCGGAACAACAATTTATGGATCACACAAAGAGTTGATCTGTGTGGGAATCGATCTCGGTATACATTGCACGGTAGCCAGTTGCCAAAACACCGCGCCAACCGTGCAGTTTATTAACATAATGATATACGGAACGCCATTGTGCGTGAATGCAGCTCGCACTTGGCCGATTTTTTATATTTACGCCAGGTAACGTGCATAAGAGATTTTTCTCGAATAATGTCACAACTCATTAATAATTATAAATTTTTTTTTTGCAAGTATAATAGCCTTGTTGGCAATTATGTCTTGGAATCGTTTGGGGTTGAAACTTTAGGACCGTGGGGCCCAAGTGCACATCTTCTTTACAAATATATTGTAAGGAGGATGGTTGACACTTCAGGTGATCGAAGGGCTGGCTGCTACCTTGGGCAAAGGTTAAGGCATTGCCATTCAACGTGGCAATGCTGCCAGTCTTTTGGACACCCTACCTCACGATAGCGATGAGGAAATTTTTGTTTTGATGCCTTATGCTTAAGATAACAATTTTGTTATTTTTTAAGGTGTAAATATTTTAGTGTTTAGTATCTTAAACTGTCAAACGCCGCGAGGACACCGGTGACCGCAACTTATTGTTCTTTAATTGTGTCTATAATGACGGTACCCAAAGGGTTAAGGGCCGATTTTTCTATGCTCAGTTAAATGTTATCAGAGTCTTTGAATATGTGACAATTCTTCCATACCAGTAACTGTCAAATGTTAATTTTATTCTATAGTTAAGAATGAACTGTAGATTGAAAAATCGGCCCTAAGATGTATATATTTATTCGTAGTTACCTATTAAAATGGATAATAAATAAAAAAATATCATTTTAAGTCTACAGTAGCTAGGCGATCAGCCGCTGTACGTGTCATGAGTTATATTAACGCAACGAATAAAGGATGACGGGCAATAGTAGTAGTACATACCGACCAATAACGACCAGACGTATGTCGTTAGAAAGCTCTTTTCATGACTATCATTTGTTATTAGGGGGGCTAGTTTCAATTCTTTGTGAGGAAATAGCAACACATATCTGTTAAAAGCAGAAAATAATTGTCATCATCACATCAGCCAGAAGATGAAAAACTGCCTCACATAATCCCCCTAATGACTTCCTCGTCGAATTGAAGCAACCTACAAAGCATTTAAAATACTGGCAACACTTACACATGCACGGTGGTGTTGCCAGGCACCTGCTGCGCCAGCGTGGCCTCCAGGTACATGGCACTGTGCGCGCCCACGCCCACGCCTACGCCCACCGGCCCGCCTGTCTGCATTACCCTGGAAATTAAGCATTTGTATCAATACTAGCTTCTGCACGCCGATTCACCTACGTTCCCATAGGATAAAAAGTAGCCTATGTGTTATTCTATACCATGATATATCCGTGTTTTAAATTCCATCCCGATCCCTTCAGCTGTTTTAACGTGAGTAACAAACATACACAAAAACTTACAAACTATCGCATATATAATATTCATCATCATCAGTCTATAACGTCCAGTTTCTATAACCTATCTATCTGTAGATTTGCTTACTAGAGATAGAATTTTGACTGCCTCGTTGGCCGAGTGGTAGCAAGTGCGACTGCCGGGCAAGGGGTCTCGGGTTCGATTCCCGGGTCGGGCAAAGTATTACTGGGTTTTTAAATAATTCTCAGTAGTAGCACGGAGTCTGGAATTGTGCCCGGTATATGGCAATAGGCTCACCCCCTATTACATGGGACTCATAACATAAATAGTGAAAAGTGGGTGTTACATTGTACAGTGGCATAATGTGCACCTCTGCCTACCCCTTCGGGGATAAAAGGCGTGATGTTATGTTATGTAGATAGAATTTTGACACAAGCTCCATACAAAATGTGTCAAAATTCTATCTCTAGTAAGCAAATCTACAGATAGATAGGTTTTAGAAACTGGACGTTAGTAACCACTGCTGACCAAAGGCCTCTTCTCACACGGAGGTTTGATGATTAAATCCACGCTTGCTCAATGCGGGTTGGCGATTTCAAACTTATAATTAGAAATTATAAGCCCAGGTTTCCTCATGATGTTTACCTTTACCGTTTGTCAGTGGTGTCTAAACAATCTAAGAAAGTGCATATAACTCGGAAATAGTCACATTGGTGCTTGCCGTTGGTATGTTCCGAGCACGAACTCTCATGAATGAGAAGCGGACGTCATAAACCTCCGGGCCACCACGACATAAGTTTTAGTAAAAATTAATAACATGGAAAACAACGTAATAACCTGTAAAATGACATGTGTATAATGCACTACTCATATGCAAATAGTTATAGGACAAACGAACAAGTAAACAAATATATTTATTTCCATTTTGTTCACATCTGTTATCTGAACAGCTTAAAAATTTTATTGTGAATCTAAACAACAGGTTTCTGTTATTTCAGTAATCAGTCTTAATACAAAATCTCTCGATTGATCTTGATTTTTAACAAATACTATAGAATTAACGTCAAAAACCGATCAGATCTATCTATCAATCTAAAGATTATATCATAACCAGCGGTTAGTCGTTGCAATGACATGAAATAATAATGAATTTACTTTGTAAATAGGCTATATAGAACAGAACTTATACACATTTCATCTAAATCATCTAAAAAATCTTCATGATGACTTTTCTTATCGGAAAAGCCGGTAAGCGAGCAGACGGATCACCTGATGGTAAGCAATCCGCGTCGCCCGTGGCCACCTGGACCAGAGGTGTTAAAAGTGCTTTACCAGCCTTTTGGGAATTTGAGGATTGTGGGGATTCAGGGATTAGGGAGAGCGAGGGAGGTAATTGTGCCTCCGGCAACCTCACTCACACGACAGAATACAACGCAAGCGTTATTTTACTATGGTTTCCTGCTCGGCCGTGGTATCACTCCGGTCAAGCCGACCCATTCGTGCCGAAGCATGGCTCTGCCATGCTCTGCTTTGTTGGCTGCCATTAGGCAACCCAAATAAATAAATAAACCCAGTCCCTAGTTTTTTCACCCCAAAAAAGCTAGGCGCCATTTGATGTTATCTAAAAATAAAGGGTTTATTCCGCCATTGTCTAAATAACAAAATATGTCCACGTTACATGACCATATACTCACGCGTCCGTATGGTCGAGATGGTGGTGGTCGTGGTGATGGTCGTGATGGTGGTCGTGGTGCGGCGGGTGCTGGTGGTAGTCCGTGTAGGGGGGCGGAGCCCTGACCTCGGCGTCACCACACCGGGGCACCAGGATCGGGGGGAGCGCTGCGAAACAGACAGACATTGTTACTATATTCAAAACTTATTACTTACTATATTCAACTATCTCGTCGGCTGGGTCGTCTCGGGTTCGATTGCAGGGTCGGGCAAGGCATTACTGGGTTTTTTCACAAATTTCTCAGTAATAGCACGGAGTATGGAATTGTGCCCGGTATATGGCAATAGAAATATTACATGGGACTCATAACATAAATAGTGAAAAGTGGGTGTTACATTGTATAGTGGTAGTACGCGCCGTAATGTGCACGTCTGCCTACCCGTCGAGGACAAAAGGTGTGATGTTATGTTATGTTAGTCTGCTCACAAGCAACCTATTCACTCGGGCCTTGAAGAAAATCCTGCTCGTTTACCGGCCTATACCATTTAAAATATGACAAGGATACCAAAAACAATAAAATCGTTGTTCCGTTCCGGGTCTTGTGTATGTGTCAAAGTCAAAGTCTAGTGTTCCGGGTCTTGTATATGTGCACTTGTATGTTTGTAAACGCACACACGACACAGGAGAAAATCCTAGTGTGGGGCAACGTTTAAAAATATAGAAAAAAAGTAGCTCACCAGGCGAATCGATTTTATTGTAGTGGTAAGGGTTGATGCACACTTCGTCTTTCTTCAGTTGGTACGCGTACTCACAGTGGTCCACTGGCTTCAGTTCATGCTGGCTCTGTAACAAATAAACATTAAAATAATCTATTCAAATTGATAACACAGGAGAAAATCCTAGTGACATTACAAAGAAAAAAATAATTTTATTGCATGTTATTGCTACTCCCGCGGTTTGACCCACTCTGCTCAGCTCCTACTGATCGTAGCGTGATCTTTTATAGCCTTTCTCGATAAATAGACTATGCATCACATCAAGAATTATTTAATTCGAACCAGTAGTACCGGAGATTAGTGCGTACAAACAAACAAACAAATAAACAAGCAAGCAAACAAACTCTTTAGCTTTAATAATAAAAAACGTGTAAGATACCTACAGCAGACATCTATTGACATTGAGTGGGCTCCACTCAGGAGAGAGTTTGGCAAACGATATAGCGTAGTATTAAGAGTCCAATAGTCGGACAGAATAAGAAACTAATGCACTCCAATATTCAAATTGCAAATGTTGGTGTTAAAGCCGCAAGCTTAAAGTGGAACTGGGCTGGACATGTCTGCCACATGTCAGACGAGCCACCGCTCGTCCCGACTATTGGACTCCTAAGATACTGAGTTCCATGGGTTGCTGGCAAACCCTGATGATTGATGTTTTTGAGGACCATAGGTGAAACATGTTAACATATTTTATACTAATAAATATTGTACCTACCTGTAGCTGCGGCCAACGCCACAGCCTGCAGTAGACAACATGCGGCAATCCCTTGCGATATTGACCATTTATTGTGTTCTCATTCGGTTTGGCCCTGAAAAAAAAAATGATATTGTTAGATGACAAGGCATTACTTTTTTATTTTCTAATCAAATATCCATGAAGCACATCAAAGTTAAATTTAACTATAATTTTTTTAAATGCTAATGCGCTTTATGTAATGAAAAATCAATATTTAAGTTTCTGAATGAAGGATGTTGAAAAAAGGAAGACAATTTCACTTAGAAATTATTGAAGCACAAAAATGTCAGTGGTTTTTTATGTGAGTGTGTAATGGTTTTTTTTAAATCTTTATTTAAACTGTCAAACACCAAGCGGTCACCGGTGACCGCGACCTATTGTTCTTTAATTGTGTCTATAAAACCGGTACTCGACGAGTTAATAAGAAGGGCTTTATGCCTAAGAGAAAAATGTCAGCCCTATTATAGGATACAAAATTCAATACAAAAATAAAGCAGCTAAACCATTTATAGGTTTAAAGGTTTAGCCCTTAAGCTTAAACATAAAATAATTAAAAGATACAGTTTCCTAGCCTTAGATGACAATGGCGCTAAAACAATGTGATAAAAACCAATATTAAAGCTCTTAAAATGAAAGAACTGATACCTCTGAGACTCAATATGTCGAGACTCATACAAAATGTGTATGTTACACACGCACATTACCAGACGTAAATGACAGATATACCTCGTGTCAATAGGTTTATGTTCTGGTGTAACTCTATGTAGCCAAATGCAACCTTCATTGTTTCAAGAGACTGTGTCTACCTTTTTTCAACATCCTTATTGTTCTGAACATCCAATATAACGGGTTCAATGCATAGTTTCTAATAAAATCAATGTTTTCTATGGTCAAAATATAATCAATTAGCCAAAAAGAACATCAGAGATAATTTTTAGATGTTAAACGGAGTTGAAAAAATAATAAGTCAAGATTACACACATATTTTTATTAAAACACTTAGATTTTCTTTTTTATCAGTTTAAGGTCTAACCACAATGTGAGTTGTCATAACCCAAAAATGCAAAACAATAATAAAAAAATAACATTCAATTATTGTTTATGACATCAATTACCTACTCACTGTTTAATTGTTCACAAAAATTACTTTTTAAATGTGTATTAAATTATTTGGCGGCAAAATGCGCACGGGTACATGTCATCAGTCATCACACATTGTCTAAATAGCCTCTAGCACTTAGGAAACCTAGATTTGAACACCAAAATCTTATTAGAATCTTATTAGCAACAAACTGAACATAATTAACAGTTTTTAGTATTCAAATTCAAAATTATTTAATAATTTCTACAAATAAACACACGGAAGCGCATATTTATATCAAGAAATCGTAATTTTCGCATAAATTACGACTGTTTAGAACTCATTTAATTTGCACGAAACGGAACAGTTTGTGACGTATTTACCTTCAAGGACGAAAGGATACGCGGATGTCCTTCAAAATGGGCCCCGAAAACAAAGACAATATGCACACACACATTCACTTTTTAAACGGTAAAGAATTTAGCAATTACAAAAATTGCAAGGTTCAAAACATGTCCGCCATATTGACAAGGATCGGAATGATTCGATTTGTTTTGACGGTGTCTTGACCTTTCCGATTTTGCGTCCTGTATGCTATTATGTAACCAAAATACGATGGTCGTTGCCTCCTACCGAGGTCACTTCTAATAACCTACCACTTCACTTGGTCGGGTAATAAGACCCACCGAAATAACCCGACCACGGAAAAAATGTTCGTTCGTAAACTGATATCGTTTAGCGAATTTTTGTGCTAAAAGAATTGAAACAACTTCCAATGAGATTCTTATTTGGAAAAATTTGTAACAAAGTAGACACTCCGCTTGGGTAGCAATTTCCTTGGGAGATTTAAGTCTCTTTGATTAGCTCAACAATTTTTGCAATATCTTTAGCATGCGATAATAGCTTTTATGACAAAGAACATAAGGTTTAACTGCATTGTTAAAGATATGATAGCCTACCGGAAACGTCATATTCCCAAATGATTGTTATCACGAAAAAAAATAAATCAATATTGAACTGACCTGGGGATAGTGACACATTTGGTATGGCTGTTTTGACTTGAAATGGCTTTTTCCAATTCTTCGAGAGCCCCGCTTTTCTTCAATTTCTTTACTAAACTTTTTACTGCCTTCTCCGACCATTTATCTTCAGCTGCAGACGAACCCTCAGGGCCCTTTTTCCACCCTAACAGCCGTTTCACCACGGGCGGAGTAAGGGGAAACATACCGTGACACTTCACTCACTAAGTCATTAAATTAAGCAAACTATCATTTGAATAGCAAATTATATATTCGCGCACAATTTATATGTTCCGTATTTAGATAAACTATCGGCCATATTGCGACTGAATGACATTTCATTTGTCATTTGTCATGTCAATCAACAAATCGAGATGGCTCTGCCTCCTTCACGCCCCGGTTTATTTGAGTTTTGGAACTTGATTACCTTTTTATTCTAAACGTGTAAAATATATTCATTTCGTAATATTCTTCTGTTTTATGAGATAACTTTAAAACAGTTTTAAATAAACGTTCTACGTAACTTTTCCAATTAATATCAAGATAAATCAAAGTATTTCTGTCCCTTTCTTCCCAATTATTTTTCCAGCAAAACAAAGGCTTTTCCATAAACAAAAAAATATCAGCCAAGTCTATTATTGGCAGAATTGGATCTCATTTCTTATGTGAATTAACTTATATCATGTCTAATAAATACGTAACGTTTCCTTATAAGAAAATTCAGAATTGTTAATACGCTAGCCATGAATTTGTGTTTTTTTCTTTGCTTTAATAGTACCGTCAAAAAAAGTACAAAAACCTTTACTTTCATAGAAAATAAGTGTTACTGATTTCTCCGATTTTATAAAAAAATTAACAATAAATGCGTGTGACGCATTTCCAAATCCATTCATAAAAATTATGCATTAAACTTACTTTCTTTTACATTGACGCATTGTCAAAAAATAAGCAATGTAAAGCGAATTGTGAATCCATAAAAAAGTACAGTTATTGTCTGTGGGTTTGACTTTAGAATGTTTTTGTTTTGAAATTTGACACAAATGGCGATAAAAATATTGTTTCATTTGTTATTTTTCTAAAGAAGTGCCAGTTGTTTGAAGAAATTGAAGATATTTTCGTTGAAATTGAATAACTGGTAAGGTACTTTTTGTTTATCGTGTAATAATATTGTTTTGTTGCGTTTTTATGGTTTAAATGGCCAAAAAAGTATGCCGGTATCGTATTGTCACTGGCCGTTTCTATTTATTTTATTTGGTGGCCAGTGTCAGTTTTCATACTCCCGCTTTGGTTTTCAATGGCTAGGCTGGAAATTATTTAGAATAAAGATAAATAAATCAACCAGGTACTTTACGACAACTTTTCTTTTCGAAATTAAAAGAAAGAAATTCATCATTTTAATTTTTCATTCTGAAACTTTTTATACTGGTTGTTCATGATGTTCGTAAAAGTTATATTAAAAGCAAAATTCTTGTTTTAGTTGCTTTTTATTATTCTTAGTATTTGCTATACCTACACTTTCTTACAAAAAATATTTCCATATTACCTACAGTTTTTTTTTCTAATTTTAATAGAAAAAGATTTTTAAATTGTTACTTGAGTATCATTATTACTTTTTCAGTTTATAACAAATATAATATTCAATGTACTATGTGCATTATCTACAATAATTAATTTTGTTTTTGATACAAATATACCTCTGAGGAATTTGTCTAATAAAATCTAATAGTAGTCCAATTTAATTACACTAATTCTCTGCTATATGTATAGTTTTTAAATATCTTTTTAGTAGTATTGAATTTGTAATTATTGACATGCATTTATAAAATATCATTTATTTATTAAACAGTTTTATGATAAAAGATATTTATTTCTTCATCATCATAATATTAGTCATAAGTCGTCCACTGCTTCAAGGCCTAGGCACGGGGTGGTTTTTAGTCAGTAAGAGTCTGACACTCCCTCCCGCCTTTAGGCTGGAGCAGTCATTCGATGATTTTCCCCCTTAAAAAAGGCCAGCCCAAATGACTTCTAAATAGGTTGGTTGGAAGAAGCGACTGGACATGCATCCTGTAAGTTCCTGCATATCTTTTATTAGGCTGCACCCTGAAGGGGTAGGCACATTACGGCGCTTAATGCCACTGTACAATGTAACATCCATTTTTCACTATTTATGTTATGAGTCCCATGTAATAGGGCGTGAGCCTATTGCCATATACCGGGCACAATTCCAGACACCATGCTACTACTGAGATTTTTTTTTAACACCCAGTAACCTTTCTTCACCCTTCCTTACCCGGCAGTTGCACTTGCGACCACATGGCCAATAAGCCAGCAATAAACAATACAGTTGTGTGAAAATATAGGTACAAACCAAAATATATTTTAAACTAAAGATTAATTATTTTAGCAAAATCTGTAATTTAGTTGAATGCTACCAGCTACTAAGATTCTTCATCATTATCAATTCATCAGCCATAAGACGTCCACTGTTGCCTGGGTAAGGCGGAAGGGAGTGTCAGACTCTTACTGACTAAAAACCACCCCGTTTCTTCTCCTGCCCTATGAGCCGGAGCTCCGGCATGCGTCTAATTTTGTGCGTCATAGTTAGAATTTCGCAAATTGTAAAATCTAGTAGGCTATGGACTAGTAAGATAGAACATTCCTCCATAAGGCCCGATCGCAACCGCGGCGGTTTAAACCGCGTAATTTTGTGAAACAATGAACCAAATACAAATAGCCACTTGTGATTTTTAATTATTATGTTTTCGGCTTACTCACGTAACTGTTAAAGAGGAACTCGACTAGTTTCAAGCCATGCTATAGGCTCATACATATGAGCGGCATTGCGCGACTCGTGACGCGGTGACGGTCGCGCTGTTAGGTCGTGCGCTGCGTTAGGCGGTAGTCGCGCTCACGGCGCGGGCACCCGCGTGGTGTGCTGTTTCATGTAATCCCATACATCAGCGCTACATGAAACGGGGCGCCCGCACCGTGCGCACGCTTAACGCAACGCACAGCCTAACTGTATTTACTATATTGAAAAACTACTTTTTTATGGAGGGAAAATCATTGAATGACTTCTCCCGCCTGGGTGAGGCGGGAGGGAGTGTCAGACTCTTACTGACTAAAAACCACCCCGTTCCTACTCCTGCACTTCGAGCCGGAGCCCCGGTAATCCGTTAAGTTCTCCGCGGCTCCGTATCGGCATCAGCCCTATTGGAAAACTACTTGGGGTTTTGTTTTTCAATACACTTTTGAGTAAATAGGCGGCATCATTGCTTACCATCAGGTGAGACAGTGGCACAATTTCTGCACATCAAATATTAAAGGAACTCTTTATTAACCGCCATGGTTCCCCTTCAGTGCGGCCAGGACCTAAAGAAAGGAAGACATGGCCTGATGTGCTGCTGCCCAAAGTTTTTTGAGGGGGGGGGGGGGGAATCATCCAACGACTTCTCGCACAGGGTAAGGCGAGAGGGAGTGTCAGACAGTGACTAAACACCGCAATCTTCCTACCGCAGAAGTAGTTCGAGCTGGAGCCCCGGTAATTAAACCCGCTAGTCTTCTGCGGCCGGGCTCCGGAGCTCCCGTCAAATTCTCATATGGATGCCAAGTCGCTCCCGAACATTACTCATGCGATCTGGAATCATGTCAGACCATTCCTTACTCGTACAATTTTTTTACAGGTAATAATGTCGGAGGCGCAACCCCCCTTGATTCTATGCATGGAGAATGCGACAGGCGAAGAGGTTGCCCTCAGAATAGAACCGGACGATAACTTTCAAATGTTTCTGGACAAAGCCAAGTAAGGATATTTATTCTAACTTAAAATCGTACCATTATTGAGAAAGTTCTTTGCTTAAATAAACGAAAGAATAGTCCAAGAGTTTAAATTATTTTCCTATATCGAAAAGCCCGATTGAGGATCGATTATGAAACCTAGGCTCAGCAGTCGACTTGCGGTAACTAGACCAACAAGATTAACTATATTTAAAAATGATATCGTAAAAATGTTAATTATATCTACATGTCAATGTATGATCAAAACTCACAAGTATCAAACGTTTACACCTACTATTGTGTTTCTCTGCATCACCCTAAGGTTGACTGTTGAATGCCACTAGGCATTAAGTCCAGTCGCGGAGAACCTAACGGGTAACCGGGGCTCCGGCTCGACGTGCAGGAGAAGGAACGGGGTGGTTTTTAGTCAGTAAGAGTCTGACACTCACTTCCGCCTCACCCAGGCGGGAGCAGTCATTCGATGACTATCCCCCCTTAAAAAAAAAAGGCATTAAGTCCGCCATTGTATACCTACAAGAAGTGTAAATAAAAAAAATAATAAAATAAACGTTTCCCAGCAAAAAATATTATTTTCTTTATAAAATTCATTCATTCCAGGGCGCTACTAGGTTTCGACGTGGACTTAAACTCCATAACAAGAAACCAACCCGTCTCATTATCAGAAAACGTCTATCAGTTCCTAATAAATGCCGAACAAAACTTACAAACAGATGACCTTACACAAAACTTTGATCCAATGTTGGATCCAAATGATGGCGCCAACGATTTGGTTTACATTTTGGACGATGGGACTCAGATAAGAGCATCTCAAATACATTTTGACAATGATGACCCGCTAATAGATTTGACTGCTGAAAAAATCCCTTTTGTGAAGTACGCGGATGACGTCACTGATGATATAGACCTAGAAAATGTTCATATACAAGAGACTAAGAAGATAAACATTGTAGAAAGCCCAGTATCCCGTTGGTCCAGTAAAAATTCTAGTCCAAAGTGCAGTTTTATAAATTCGTTACCGTTCAAATTAGTCTGCAATAACACTTCGGGTTTTGAAGCGCAGTTTACAAAATATCTGGAAGCGAATGCATCAAAAACTTACGCTACTCTTAACCCTGTGACGATCAGGAATAAATCCCCAAAAAGTCTCATCAAAGATAATTTCAAAAACTACGACGAGAGTTATCAAAGGAATGATAATCTTTCGTACACTAGAGAAGAAATTCTGAACATGTTCAAAGATTCCCCTATGACTTCTTTGCCCTACGATCAGGGGTATAGCGAGAGGAGACATGTTAGAAAGACAGACCCTTCGAGATTAGTCCACAAGAATTGGACGAAACCCATCTCCTATGTAGATATTGATGGAGTTCTTATAGGCGAAAGTGAGAGCCAGATCTGCTTCATATGCGGCAAACACGTTGATAATAACGTGGATAAACTGTATCTCTTTGATAACGAGGATCAGAGGCTACATCGGTGTTCCCCACAGAAAAAAATGTCGACCCAACTCAAAATTATTTGCGAGTGTTGCCTCAATGAAAATTTTAAGCCGTGTCGAATGAAAAGTGCTAATCAATTTCTGAATCCTGACGAGTTTTTGGTCATACGTAATAATCAACAATACATATTTCAGAAGGTTAAAAATTTTAGTTTTACGCATCTAGGGAAAACTAAGGAAATCATAAACAAGATAGAGACGAAAATAGACAAAGAAGAATTCGTTAAAGTCGAAATAGGTTCTGACGGGGAGATTATAACGAAACCCATAGACAATGATCCGAGGTCCGATGACGTCATAATTGTTAAAGATGAGAAGAAGGAGGGTAGTTCGAGCGACGTAGAGATTATAGAGCCGGAGCCGGAAATAGATAATATCATAGACAATTTGGAGGAAGCTGATGAGGATGTTAAGGAGTTTTTGGGAAAATATCAGTGTGATAACAGTGAAATTACGGAGTTGAAGTGCAGGTAACTTAATATCACGTCTTTTATTACTAAGGGGTAGACAGAGCTGTACATGTTAGATGCAACATCCAGTTTTTGCCTGTTGTGTTGGTAATCTGACCGTAGCCATAAATTGGATGCTGTTCAAGATTAAGACTCCCAAGACAAAAAGCAATAAAATACTTCTTACACCCAAATCGAACCCGAGAACTTTTCTCTAGACAATGACGCTTGCAACCACTAAACATGCAGCTTACATTAACTTCTGCATAAAATCTAGACTTCTTAGAAAAAGAACATAACATAACATCACGCCTTTTATCCCCGAAGGGGTAGGCAGAGGTGCACATTACGGCACTGTACAATACAATGCAATACGACTTTTCACTATTTATGTTATGAGTTCCATGTAATAGGGACTGAGCCTATTGCCATATACCGGGCACAATTCCAGACTCCGTGCTACTACTGAGATTTTTTAAAAAAACCCAGTAATACTTTGCCCGACCCGGGACTCGAACCCAAGACCCCTTGGCCGAGCCAACGAGGCAGTCTATAAAAAGAATGAATTATCAATCCTAAAGTTAACCTTAGGAAACGTTACTTAACCTCGTTCTGTTTTCTATACTTAAAACTGGCAATGTCACTGAATGACAGAGTCACTGGATGAGGAAACGACTGGTTAGATCGGATTATGAATTAGTACTATCCGTGTGTGTCACGGGATGACAGGAAATGTCCTGGATGGTCACACACACTTGCTTAACTCGTCGAGTATCGGTTTTATAGACACAATTAAAGAACAATAGGTTGCGGTCACTGGTGACCGCTTGGTGTTTGACAGTTTAAAGTGCATACAATGTTTAACAGTTCCATTTACACGTTGTGTAATTTAACCTCTCTTTTCCCCGTCATCAGAATCAATTAAAATATTATAATCTAACAGGTTTATACTAGACATCGATTCAACCTTTTTTCAGGTTTTGCGAGCAAATATTCCCTGAACTTTCAGGCGTGACGGAGCACTGCGAGACACATAAACATGATCTGGAAGATGGGGAGGTGTTCCCATGTCCCCTATGTAATTATGGTAAGTCCACATGACATACCATTACGGCACTTAAAGCCACTGTACAATGTAACGCCCACTTTTCACTATTTGTGTTATATGTCCCATGTAATAGGGAGTGAGCCTATTGCCATATATCGGACACATTTCCAGATTCCATGCTACTTTTAAGTTTTTCGTAAAAAACACAGTAATACTTTTCCCGACCCGGAAATCGAACCCGAGACCTCTTGCGCGGCTGTCGCAATTGCGACCCCTGGGCCAATGAGGCAGTATGGTAAGTTTATGGTTTTAAAATTAATGCCTTCCCCCTCCACCCCCCGCCCCCAAGTCCTTCACCTCCAAAAGGCCGATAACGCATTTATAACTTCTAGCTTTCCATTGCTTACCATCAGGCGATCCGTCCTCTCCATTAAATAGCAGATTTGGTTGAATTACGCCCGAATACCGAAAGACTTCTCAACTTTACGTCACGCTTCAGTATAGTTCTGTCACTACAAGTTCTTTGTAAAATGACAAAGATGATTGATGATTTTTTTTTTGACGGCGTAAAAGTATCCATTTACTTCTCTCGCCCGGGTGAGGCGAGAGGGAGTGTCAGACTCTTACTGACTAAAAACCATCCCGTTCCTACTCCTGAACTTCGAGCCGGACGGGGGTCCGGTTTAACAGGTTACCGGGGGATAACCTGTTAAGTCTTCCACGGCTCCGTATCGGCATCAGCCCATGTTGGGCCCCATCTGTGGTGGTCTGATGGCACCTTGAGGCGCTCGCGGAACGCGACTTCTCACCTATCAGTGGATGTGTAAGATATATGTAAGAATTGTAAGTACGTATGACCAATAATAGTTATTTTTTGCTTTTTACTTTTCGTTTGTATTCAATAAGAGTCTGACACTCCATCTCACCTCACCCGGGCGGGAGAAGTCATTGGATGATTTTCCTACCTCAAAAAGAAAGGGTACCATGCACAGTGCAGGTTTCCTACCTGATACGCAGATTTTATAAACACCACCTGATGTGTTATCTTCCATCTTAGCTAATTTTCCATAAATATTTGACAATACCAATTTCCTTTTTCAGGCTATGCGAATCTGAAATGGCTGAAAGCACATTTAATAGCGGCACACGAGAAATCTGAAACTAAGAAACCTTCAAAAGATGAAGCTGAAAGTAAAGCAGGCGATGTTGACAAAGGTAAGTCTGTGTTCCTTTTGTTGACGACGGAGTACCGCTTGTATAATGGGTTCTGCGGAATTATTTGAAATGATGCCCACGGCCACTTTTTATCATCGCACCGCTCGCCATCGACAGGGGGCTCACGCTCACTCATTGGAGCCAAAATGGTCCCGTACAGTTCGGTTTCAGAGGAATTTTCTCCCACGGACCCTCCGATTGTGGAATGAACTCCCTGTCGTGGTTTTCCCAATGGGCTACAACATGAGGTTCTTCAAGAGGGGAGTGAATAGGTTTCTTAAGGGTCGGCAAGACGCATGTAATGCCCCAAGTGTTGCAGGCGTACATAGGCCACGGTAACCGCTTACCATCAGGTGGGCTGTGTGCTTTTATGCCACCGTTATGGTATAAAAAAAAATAGTTTTGTGCACAGGTATTTTTCGGGTGTCGTATACCCGACTAAAGGCGCCAGGTTACAGAGGTCGCCACGAGACGCATTATAGGTATCCAACTACTGATAGAGTGATGGCGGCGCCAAAAATAATTAGGCGCGCCTATTAGGTGTTTTTTTTTTTTAGTTTAAACGAGCTGACGGGTCAACTGATGGTAATAAATCGGCGTCGCCCATGGACACCTGGAACACCGGAGGCGCGTTACAAGTGCGGTACTGGCCTTTTGGGGATTAGGAGTTTAGGATTGTTGGGGATTCGGGGATTAGGGAGGTTGGTGGCGGTTATTGGGCCTCCGGTAACCTCACTCACACGACGAAACACAACGCTATGGTTGTTTCACGTCGGTTTTCTGCTCGACCGTGGTATCACTCCAGTCGAGCCGGCCCATTCGTGCCGAAGCATGGCTCTCCCACACTTATTACTACTAGTTGATAATAAGTACCCTGCAAGCCCACTTCGGGGACTGAAGGCCGCTTTCACCAACCGCCCCTAAACATAACCTCACGCCTGTCTCCCATGAAGGTACGCAGCGACTATTAAACGCCAACTCAATCGTCAATCCCTAAACCATTACTTAAAAAGAAGGTGGTTTACATGTTACGAAACTTTTTATACTCTATATAGACGTATTATTTTAACTAAAAATCGCGGGTTACTCACGTGAATATACTGAGAAAAGCTCTACTAGTTTCGAACCACAGATGGGTCTTCCTCATGAGCAGCGTGCGCGGTCGCGGCGACGTCGCGCAGCCTACTACGGCTGCGATAACCGCTCTGTGCCTCGAAACTAGTAGAGCTTTTCTCAGTATATTCACGTGAGTAACCTGCGATTTTTAGTTAATTTAGTAACTCTCACGATAGTTATTATAAAAAAGTATTATTTGTAATATACATGTTATTTGAATTTAGACCTAATAGTTACCGAGCCAGAGACGGGAACTCCATCATCGCCCGTAGCGACTCGCACACGCAGCTCAAACAAAAAGGATGGAGACAGAAAAGGTATATATCTAGCTAGATTAAACTACCTTTATTTAAAAACTAGCTTTTACCCGCGGCTTCTTTCGCGTCACAAAAGGATAAAAAGTTGCCTATGTGACATATACCAATACTCACAGCGCCATCTATACCAATACTTTTGTTTTCCCTCGAGAATATCAATTTTACGGGATTTTTTTTTTTAAGGGGGGAAAATCATCGAATGACTGCTCCCGCCTGGGTGAGGCGGAAGGGAGTGTCAGACTCTTACTGACTAAAAACCACCCCGTTCCTTCTCCTGCACGTCGAGCCGGAGCCCCGGTTACCCGTTAGGTTCTCCGCGACTCCGAATCGGCATCGGCCCTATTGAGCCCCATCTGTGGTGGTCTGATGGCTCTTTGAGGCGCGCGCGGAACGCGACGCGCCTTACGCTCGGGTCTGTTGCTGGTCGGACGGGGAGCCACCCATGCTCGCCGTCCGCAGGCCCGCGCTTACGGTGGCCGGAGATCGTCCCGCGATCCCCGACGCCCGGTGTGTCCTTCGCGATGGCTGGGTTGCGAGGACACGCGTCCCGCCTCCTCCTTAGCTAGCATGACTGCTTCGCAAAAGGAGGAGACGGCATCCCAGTCCCCCTCGCTCCGCATCATGGCCTGCACTAGGCCCGGACGCGAGAGGTTGCCATCGCCGATCACTTCCCTGAGGGCACGGCGGTGCTCAGCCCACGCAGGGCATTCCGCTACGGTGTGTTCCACCGTGTCCTCAGGGCGGTCCTCGCAGTGATGACACCCGGGCGTTTCCTCCCACCCCATCAGACACAGGTACCTCCCGAAACTTCCATGTCCGGTGAGGACCTGCGTCAGGCGGTAGGTGAGGACGCCGTAGTGTCTCTCAAGCCACTCCTCAAAGAGGGGTCTTACCGCTGCAATGGCAGCGAGCCCAGCCCTCGGTTGCGACAGTCGTTGCTGCCATTCCGCCATGAGATCGCGCCGGAGCTCATCCCGCCACGCACTTATCTGGCGCGGCAGCGGAGTTTCGCCCCGGCGACGTGCCTCCGCGCGCATGCGATACACGCGCGCGAGCACCTTCGCCTCCAGATCCCATGGCGGTAATCCGGCAAGGAGGTTCGCCGACTCCCCAGAGATCGTGCGGTATCCGCGGATCATTCGGATCGCCATGACCCTCTGTGACATGAGCAGCGTCCGAGCAATTTTACTAATTTTACGGGATAAAAAGTATCCAATCACACCAACTGTCAAATATTGAACGTCCAATTGTGTGACGTTAGCTAATTCGAATAATGAGAGGTTTACATAAGAAAATATATTGAATCTTAGTATGATCCACAAATTATTGTTTCGGGTCTGTGTGTGATGTGTATGTGAACTTGTATGTTTGTAAACGTACACATGACACAGGACATAGTCCTATAATAGTGTGGGGTAACGTTATCTTTACTAATATTATAAATCGGAAAATGAGTTTGTTTGTTTGTTTGTTCCGCTTTCACGCCATAACTACTAAACCGATTGCTTTGAATTTTTGGAGATGTATAGTTAGAAGTCCGGATTAAATAATAGGGTACTTTTTATCCTGGAAAAATTTGATATTCCCGAGGGAAAACAAAAGTATTGGTATAGATGGCGCTGTGTGTATTAGTATATGTCACATTGGCTTTTTATTCTTTAGTGACGCGAGCGAAGCCGCGGGTAAAAGCTAGTACTATATAATTCGGCTGTTTGTAAGTTGGCCTTTAAGAGAAATGACCAATGTAGTGTTAGAAATAGAGCAACAGCCTACCAGTTACCAGGTTGGAATTAACTAACACATATTTTAATACTAATTCTAGATAACGAAAATTCTGAAGACAAGACAGATTCTAATGCTGAGACGGTTAGTCATATGATCGTAAATAAGTATTTAGAAATTCACTATAATAATGTGTACAAAAAATAGTATTGTTTAGTTAGAAGTTAATATTAATTAAGTATAGCATGTAGTTTAACAGTAATTTGTAGACTTATATCGAAATTAGTTTTTACCCGCGGCTTCGCTCGCGTCACAAAAGGATAAAAAGTAGCCTATGTATGTGACATATACCAATACACACAGCGCCATCTATACCAATACTTTTGTTTTCCCTCGGGAATATCAAATTTTTCCGGGATAAAAAGTACCCTATTATTTAATCCAGACTTTTAACTTTACGTCTGCAAAAATTCAAAGCAATCCATTTAGTAGTTACGGCGTGAAATCGGAACAAACAAACAAACTCACTTTCCGATTTATAATATTAGTAAGGATATTCAAACGCTACTCGACTTTCAAGTCGGGCTTTAGTATACTACAAGTTCTTTGTAAAATGACAGAGATGCGGCGTTACTATTGTTCCAATATTTCAAAATGCAATATCCGATATTTTCCGAATTTCCCGGTCATAGTATAGTATACAATGATATAAAAGAAAGTCGTGTTTGTTAAACTATATAATAACAAGAACGGCTAAATTGATTTGATTGAAAATTGGTGGAGAGATAGCTTAGAGCCAGGAGACGGACAAAGGATACTTTTTATCAATTTTTTTTTACTTTTTACCGAAAATCGCCAACGGGAACGGGAAAAAACTATTTGCACGTACAAAGTCGCGCGCAGAGGTTTAGAATAAAAATTACTGTAAGAAAATAAAGTTGAAAATCGTACAATTAAGGTAGATGCCTAATTTTTATTTTGATGTCCGTCTGGTAGATTTTTTTAGAACATTGCACACGTATTTTTTATTTTTTTACAGAAACGAATACTTTCGACGATATATTGATTTTGAATTGTCGAGTGACGTCACTTTTATGTACATTTTATTCGTAGAAATGACGTTTCAACCACTACTCCTATACTTTGATTCGTTATATCCAAGTATCATTTTATTATAAGTACATCAAAAAAAAAAAAATTACGTGTCTAATATTTTTTCATTACCTAACTGACGGAATAATTAGATTTTTAATTTTCATACCCTGTCATCATCCCTATTGATACATTTGAAACAATGCACATTTCTGTTGCACAGACGGAACCTACCACAAATGCAGAGCCACCCATCATAAAGACGGAGGTTAAGCAAGAATGTCTGGACAGCAGCGAGGATGAGATCTGGATAGTTCAGACAGCTGACGCTGATGCGCAGGAGTTGCAGAAACTATTGTGTGCTGCTAAGGTGAGTAAAATGTAGATTAGCTTGAAAGTTTTTAATAATAATAATAATAATAAGCCCGCAGGGCACCTTGAGGCGAGGTGACGGGCATTAGCGATCCCGCGGGCTACCAACATCCCGAGTGCTCCAGGGAGAGGTCACCGTTCCTTCTTCTCCGGCTTGCCTTAATTGGCTGGCTGGAGTGAACGATGACAAGGAACAGGTCTCCCACCTCTGGCTTGCCTTCATTGGCCGTCCAGAGTGGAGTCGCGAGAGCAGTGAACCTGCTCGGAGGGTAAGAAACTATTCGTAAGTCGCGAGTGGGCCAGGGATGCAGGAGGCTTCGGCTGGAGCAGATGATCTGAGTAGAAAGCGGTGGTAGTTTCTTAACCCTTCAGCCACTCACATTCTCGTTGCCCCTCTGTTGCTATATCTAGCAACCATTCCCGGGGCCCGGTTGGTGAGTTGGCGAGTCTCCGCCTGCCATTTGTACGTGTAAAAATTACATTGTTTCGGCAGGTGCCATAGTCATCCATAGTTCCCAATTTACCAGTCCACAGCAACCCATCCATAGCCCTACCTTTTTTTTTTTTTCATTATTCACAATAGTTCTACACTAACCGGGGACTGTCCTTGGGTGCATTTCCATAGTGCATACAGGGATAGTCGCCGGTTTGTGTGTCCATTACATTTAGATTAAAGTTGTCTAAAGGGCCTCTGCGCAGTTGGCTTCGGCCCCTCGTACGCCTCCCAAATGACCGGGACCCTGTGGTCCCGTGAATGGTAAAGATAATAATAATAAAATTCTTTATTTGCTCAATGTGGTACATGATATAGATGTTACATACAATATATTTAGATCAGCACATTTACCATTATTGGCATGCAAATTGGGTACATTTAATCTTTACTGTAGATTAAAAAAAATACATGAAGGCTACAATTTTGGTTCATAAACTAAGTACACTTACTGCTCTTATTTATTTCTTTCTTTAAAACTAAAAGATTTACATTTGTTTTTTTCTAAAAATTCGTGGATTGAGTAGTAATTTTCTTTAATTAGCCATTGCTTTAATACATTACAAAATTTCTTATACGGAAGTTCAGTTATAGATTTAGGCAACGTATTATAAATTAGAGGAGCCATATAAACACAATTCCGTCTAAATAACTCCAATCTAGGTGAAGGCACTTGAAGAAGTACGCATGTTGCTTTTCTCTTATTTACATTATCTTTAACTTGAAAAAGCGAAGGATTGGTTCTTATGAATTTAGCAATTTCATAAATATAAATGGACGGGACAGTTAACAGCTTATTAGACTGAAATACAGGCCTACAGGATTCAGACCATTTCAAATTAAATATTGCCCGAATGCATTTTTTCTGCGCTATAAACACTCTAGAAATATCCGTAGAATTTCCCCAAACAATTATTCCATAACGAATTATTGAACAAACATACGCATGGTAAACAAGAATAGCCGTACACCTTGATGTAACGTCTTTAACCTTTCTCAAAGCAAAGATAAACTTATTAATCTTATTACAAATATTATCTATATGGATTTTCCATGTAAGGTGTTCGTCAAGAATAACCCCTAGAAACCTTGCACTGCGAACCTGTTCAATCATTTGACCATCATATGCAATATTTAAATGTATGTGTTTACTTTTCCAAGTTTTAAATTTTAATACATTCGTTTTCGTTACATTTATTCTTAGTTTGTTAATGTCTAACCAATTAGTAATATCTTTTATTGACTCATTTATAATGGTATCATAGTTTTGTGGATTTTTGGTTTCTATGATTACTGTGGTGTCATCCGCAAATAGAACACACTGATGTTTAATTGCTTGTGGTAAATCATTTACATAAATTAAGAATAATAATGGTCCCAAAATACTCCCCTGCGGTACACCGCATCGATTTATGAGTGGTTTAGAATCAAATATTTCTAATGTGTTACTTATCTCATTAAATTTTGTAATTCTGGTTATCTGTTTCCTATTACTTAAATATGATTCGAACCATTTTTGAGCTGAACCTCTGATACCATATCTTTCCATTTTCTCAATCAATATTGGATGATTTACTAGATCAAACGCCTTACTAAGGTCCAGAAGTAGTGCACAAGAAGACGTGTTAGAGTTAATACTATTCATTACTGCTCTTACAAGTGTATATATAGCTAACGTTGTTGATTTATTTTGTTGAAAACCATACTGCTCCTTTGCTAGAATATTAAACTTATTTAAATATTTAAGCACCCTTTTATACATAATTCTCTCGAATACCTTCGACAAGATTGGAGTTAATGCTATAGGTCTATAGTTATTTACATCAGATTTGGAACCTTTTTTGTGTAACGGTTTTATCAACGACATTTTTAACCTATCAGGGAAACATCCTTGTTCAAGAGATAGGTTGATGATATGAGCTAGTGGTGGTGATATATACTGGGATATACATTTGATTAAATCTGTTGAAATACCATCAAACCCGCAGGATTTTGTGTTTTTTAAGTTCCTGATTATCTGACAGACCTCAACATCGTCACTAGGTTCGACAAAAATACTTTTATCATGTGAGGTTACATTGGAAATTTTTATTTTACTATTGTCAATATTATTGGAACCTTCATAATTAGCAACGTCAACGAAAAATGTATTAAACGTATCAGCAATATCTGAGCCAGACGCAATAATAGTGTTTCTATATTTAAGAACATCCAGACTATCTCTACCTTTTATTTTACCCGTGTTGCGCTTTACAACGTTCCACGTAGCTTTTACTTTATTATGAGACTGAGCTATATGTCTTTGATTACATAGTGCTTGGAGATTATACATACACTTTTTTAATATTTTAGAATAGTTCTTAAACCTATTTTTATTTTCGTTATTTTTATTTAGGTAGTAGATAAATCGCAATGACCGCTTATTTTTGCTACTAGTTTTAATTCCTCTTGTTATCCATTTTGGTTTATTAAAATTGTATCTTTTTTTTACTCTTATACTCGGAAAACATAATTTATAAAATAATATCAACAGGTCATGAAACTTTCCAAATGCTACATTTGTATCTGACGTCTCATAAACTTCACCAAAACTTAAGCAACTAATACAATCTATAAACTTATTTACATTTTCCTTGCTGAGATCATCCCTAATCACATAATAGTACCCTTTAACATCAATAGTTTGCTCAATAATTGTGACTGTTTGGGCTGTATTATGATCTGATAGATAAAAATTATGAGTTTCGCCAAGACAGTCGTCAATATTACCAATAATATTATCTATACATTTATTATGCCTAGTGGGTTCATTTATGTAATGCTGTACACCATAATTAAGCATCAGATCCTTAAAAGTGGTACTATTTTTATCTGATAATAACAAATCTATATTAAAATCTCCACAGATAATTATATTCTGTTTTTTATTGTGAAGTCTCGAAAGAGTCTTTTCAAGACTATCAAAAAATATGTTAACATCGGAGTTTGGGGTTCTGTATATACATATTATTATAAGTTTAAGTTTATTTATCATTACACCACACATTTCAAAGTGTTTTTCAATTGCAAATTCTCTTATAGTATCTAGTCTAGTACTTTCATAATCATTTTTACAAAGAATACAAGTACCTCCGCGACGTTGGTTTTCACGAGAGAAAATATCAGCTAGGTAGAAGCCGTTTATGTTGAGGTACATTTCCTCATGCTTTTTGATGAAGTGTTCACTTAAACATACAACTACAACATTTTTTTTTTGCTCGAGCAGCTCCAGTAGGGCTACGTCCAGGTCCTGCATCTTATTCAGGGCACCCGCAATATTTTGGTGGAATATAGAATACGTAGACTTATTCACGAAAAAAATTATTTACTTTGGGCCGGGTTTTTGTACCAGAATCATTATTTATCGGTTCAACTTGTGACAATTTTTTTATAATGATAGGAAAGTAGTAAGGAATTGTACCTTTTTTTATTTCTACCTTAGACACAGCTTTTTTACCATAAGGATTATTGTTTAATGTTTTCTTAGGGTTAATACAGTTTTGAAGTGTGACATCATTATAAGACAGGAACATTTTATTATATACTCTTACATTGATATGATAAATTATTTGCTGTATAACATTATGTGGTTTTGTCTCTATAAATGTACAGTTTTTATAATTTCGAGTTATTAACTTTAGCTGATCATTGAGTTTACGTTCATTAAGATAATTGTTATGGAAAACATTAACTACATACACATTGCATTTATTAAAATAATGTAACGCTATAGACATTTCAGACAAAATTTCAACTGGGTTGGAGTCATTGCTCCCAGTCATTATAACTACGTGGTCTTTTTTTGAAAGTCTATTACAATAATCATTACAACCTGCCAATACATGTTTCGTTGTGGCGTATGGTTTTGTGATAGACTGTACTTTGTAATCATCAGCAAATAATTTATGCTTGTTTTTTAGTAATGTTTGTACAATACCTTGTCCCTGATTATCTGAGAAGATGAATATTTCACCAGTTTCTTTAGGACATTTTCTACTATCGGGTTGACTTAATACAGACTTAGGGCTAGTATTCTTGCTTGAATCCTGGTTCAGAGGAATGGGTATCTTCACGACGTTTTGCATGTCGAGATTAGGTTGACTAATGGTAATTTTCGGATCATCATTACTTCCAGGAAATACTATAGAGGTGTTGTTTCTTGAAGGCTTGGGTGTATGAAAATCTAAGTCAAGATTAAGTTTTCTAGAGGAGATTTTCTGTTTTATAGCCTGACTCCTATTCAGCTTTAATGAGGTTGACGATGATACAGTCTTCTTATGACTAAATGTAGCACATTTTTCTTAGTTTCTCAGATTTTTTAATTTCATTTTGCAACTGTATTTTCATTTCAGAATTTTCCAATGTTAGC